ACGCAGCTAAAGCCACTTTCCTGGGAGAACAGGCCAGGTGCCTACGTGTCTAAATCACCTTGAATGCTGAATTCACCCCTGGATCTCTGCCATGTTTCTTCACTCCACCTTTCAAAGACTGGAAAACTGACTTTCTAAATTTCAGGTCCTTCCTGACTCCTTATTGACTCATCAGTGACAACCTCATAAATTAGGGAGAAAGGTTAAATAGTCCCTATTTTATCACACTTATCCTTTTTCTACAAAGACATTTTTACAGCTGTCAATCAGGCTCCAGGTCAGACGCAACACCTCAACGGTACAAACTAACTGCCTGGCAGAAGACGCCTGTCCACATTTTTGTGCACTCACAAGTCAAAACCAGTCACCTCGTTTGAAGACCGCAGACAAATTGTAATTAATAGGTACAGTTATGGATTTGGGTCCTGTATTTGGAAAATCATTGTTTTATCTTGTGATGGAAACTAAATATCCAAATAAGCTGTGTGTTACTTAATGTGTCATATTTTAATATACTTCTCTTTTTTTAAGTATATTTCCCCAAAACATAAACCAGTCCTAGCGATCAAGCAATTGATCATTTATCATCAAAGTCAAGAAAAACTGCATCATTTCTGGTTCACAGTGGCTGATTGTCAGGAGGTTTAAGTGGGTATGGTTTTATCCTCAAGCTGGGTCTCTGAGGTGCGATTATGCACATAACCACCACTAGTCCCCATGAAAGAATCTGTATTAACTTACTTCCCTGAAGTCAAAGCATATTCCTGTTATTTTTGGCCATTTAAATCAATGAACATGCATAAATTGCAAACACAGTTGACAAGAAGTCGCTGTTGTCATACTTTTGAAGGAGTAAATTTAAAAATTAGCAGACATGTGGATGTCCTCACAGGTCCTGGAGATCCCATTTGATTATAACATTTATATGAAATTTATGAGAGCGGATCCTTGGATGCTCGCAGATGGGGAAATGATAACATAACAGTAGCATTTACCTTCTTTAGACATAAATAATGATGATCTATGTTAGTTTGGACCTCAAGTGATTTTACTTTCTCAAAGTTTAAAAGAAAGAGTTTAAAAGAAACCTATACTCTATTTAAGGAAACAGGTTGAAACCTTGAGCACCTTTGTGGCTTTGTTTGGTAGAAGGGCTGCACATAGTAGTTTTGTACTCTCAAAGAAAAGCTGCAAGTGTGTATAATCTGAATTTGTTCATTTGTATTTTATTGCAATGCAAAAGTTTATGAGTGTACCTACACAGAGGCACATTTTTTCTGTTAATACTGCTAGTGCAACCTTTCGGCGCTAGAGCATTTATTTATTTTTGATTCATTTATGGTTGACTGAAAGTTCATTGTTTATTTTTCCAGGTACACTGCCACCTACTGTGACAGCACAAAAGAGAAGTGCAGCTTGACTAATTCACAGAAACAATGTGAAAAACTCCGTAATGATGGTGAGATGGTCCAAATTTGATGAATTCACAGGGTGTTTCCTGGCTATAGTTAAGGCAATGACCCTGTGTTACCTTACTTAACTGAAATTCTTGGCCATTTAATAAACAAAAATGTATTTCATGCTCATGTAACTCCTTTTATGTGCAGGGAAAACACAGATTTATGATGAAAGGGGTTCACAGAATCACATCCACATGTGGTGTGTTTGGTTACCAGTTACCTGCGAGC